AGAGTCAACTTTTGGAGATTTACTTACCTGGATGATAGAGCATGCATCAAGATGACCATACAATGGTTAGACTCACGTTTTACTTTGAAAAACTGTGTTGCAGGCTAAACAGTTCCGTGGTTTGAAAAAAAAATATGAAGAACACTTTTTAACACTTTATGGGAAACGTTGTGTTAAGTTTCGTATAGAAATTACACAGAATTGATTAAAAAATGTGAAAGATGAGTGTCATGAAGCCGTGTTTGCATTTATTTGCACTGCTTTCCACTCTGGATGTCTATTTATGTTGAGCTTTAAGTATGAAAGGTCCATTCTGCAAACTGATTTTTTTTTAGTTTTTTATTTTAGTTGTTGACTATAAACATTATTTTGTGCTGATATTGCACTTTTTTCAGAACCATAGAGTTTTTGAAATCTTCATAAAATTGCATTTTAAATTACTTTTTGAATATTACTTTAAATACTTAGATTTAAAGTTCTGCTAAAAGTTTAAATAAAAAGATCAGTATTGCTGAACTGCAAAATGAGCAAATTCAAACTCATCTTCTTTCTAAGGGTTGATCTAATGCTTTGATTGGGGAGCATTCAATGCAATCTGGGTTGACTTGACTTCTTCTATTAATCTGCAAATACATAAAAATACATTGCTAAACTATGTTTCCACAGTGGCCATTCGTATGTGTAAAGTGAAAAGTAATGTGAGAAGGGTGCTGCTAATTAAATGCAATTTATAAACTAATTATTGTCCAGTGTGACCACATCCATAAAAGCAGAAGATTACATTTTCCTGTATGCCAGAATGCCACAGTCCATGCAATTCTCAGAAAATGCAAAATCCCTAAGAGCTATCTCACAGTCCACACACTCAGCCAACATATTAAACGTTATAACTCATGACAGTACAAATAGGAAAAAAACCTGAACAGGTATGGCTGGTTTTGGAATGGTTGCCAGGAGCAAAAGCCCAGTCAAAGTCACGAATTCAACCTGATTGAAATGCTGTGGCAGGTTCTTAAGTGAACTGTAAATGAATGCCTGCAATGAACTCAAGCTACACATAAATATCAGTGGACCAATAAAGTCACACAGACAGCAACAAACTTTGTATTGTACATATAAAGCTACAAAACTGGTGTTGATCAATTATTTGAAACTATTACAAGACGTATTCTTTGTTTTAAGCCACTGAGGTTTTTCCCTGACCATATTGAAAAAAAAATGGATGGATATTGTTGATATAAACTTAATATAATGATTTAAATCATGTCAAAAATAAAGATGAGAATTTTAAAGAAACATATAGAGCCACATGTACTATCGTCTGCCAACAAGAATGAACTGAGCTTCTTTTTCTCAGCAGCGCGCACACAGTGAGCTGTAACAAAAAAACTTGAAATGTCTGAAAATACAGCCGTTGATAAATCCATGTTAGTGTGTTAGATTAATGCCTGAATGTTGCAATGCGCCATTTAAAAAAAGAATATATTTACACACATGGCACATTAACATAGTTACTGGGAAGGCTCATGATCTCATGGTAAATAATATCTTGTGTTGTTCTTCTGCACAGGGGCGCTACCAAGTTTGCTGACCAACCCCAGTGGCCCCCTCCCTGACAAGACAGTCCTAGGTTGGCAAAAATGTTAATAAACGTGAGCACAAAAGAGAGGAAGGCACCCTAGTTGAAACATAAGCTTGTTATTTGTTCCTGCATTAAAGCATATTCTTAGCAGATCATCCAGCGACTGTGGTGTTGCAAGAATTTGCCCCACTTCATAAATCTTTTTTTTTTTACCCTTGTGTTTCTTCTTCCTTTCTTTCTGTGTTTCTATTTTTCTCTTCTTACCCCCCTAATTCCAACGTGAACCATAAAACCTTAGCCCTAGACCATGAGTAAAATTAAAGCTCTAAATCTTACAACATTTTTTACTCAAATCTTAAACTGGTGTGAATAAAATACCAAATAAATTATGCATATGCTATATTAAGGGAACATCAGTAAACTGCTCAAACAGAAAAAATGGGTAAAAGAAAAGACAGAAAGGAAATCCCTTGCATGGTATTTCCAAGTTTGTTTGTTTAGGGTTTTTTTTGCTGTGTGTTAGGAAAGATTATTTCTGTTGCATTTACAGTCCAATGAGTATTTAAAAAGTAGTTTTATTTTATTCCAAAACTAAACAACTATTCCAGGTTCTTCCTTAGTTTCACTGAATATCGAGCTAACAAAGATGAGGAAGGATGACAAGATGATATACTTATTAGTGACTCAGCCAGTGGATGGTACTACAATGCAAATTATCCTTTGATTAGAAAAGCTTATCACCCCCTTAAAATGTGAAGTCAGCAAGGTTCCTAACAATAGACTAAAATACACAGCAGTGCATGTCATTATTTATTGCTGCCAATAGTCAGGAACAGTTTCTGACTGATTCATCTTACAAAGTGAAACAGAAACAAAAAGCTCAGATATGGAATCACAGACACGTGTTTCAAGTCTTTCACACAGTATAGAAAGATATTTTACTGCAGTAGAAAAACCTTCCCAGATAACTAATAATAGCACACATTACTCTACAGTAAACCTCATTCTCTCACAGTGAGTCGCTGAACTGACTAACATTTATTCTATACTAATAACTGCCTTGTGTTCAGTTGTTTCACGTATGGGAGGCATCTTGACCAAGGGCAGCCAGCAAACAAACCGCCAACGTTCTAATCAGTAGATAACATGCGCTATGTCCTGAGCTACAGCGCTTCAGCCACCCCTGATAATAGAAACATATTTATTCAATCCAAACCTTCTTTGTTTTGTCTTGAGTGATACTTTGTATCATTACTTTTGAGACTCTGAGAATGTAGGTTAAAAGTTGCTGAAATTCAGAATCAGTTAATGCAATACTTTTGTTAAACACCTTTATCTGAAAGTCTGTGTTTCAATCACAAGTGGATTCTTTAATTTAAAATCCATAGTGATGGCATACAGAAGTAAAATTACAATAATTATGTCACTGTCTAAACACTTGTGCATGTAACTGTATCCTACATATGTTAGAAACACCCACTTTGGACAGCTTACTACAGGTATACATAGATTTTACAGTATATGACAAGTACTGGCTTTCTAAGACAAGCATTCATATTCCCGTAACTCCATTAAATTTGTTTTTCTTTTGTCACGGTAAGGATTAATAGATGAGCCATATTTTGCTGTAGTGTGTGATACATATGAGGAAACATGACAAGTGACGCCAAAAGCAGCAAACCTGTCTACAGCAAAGTCTGTCATGATAAAGTGGCAAGTAGCGTTACTACTCCCTCTTGTGCTGACAAGTTGCAATAACACCAAAAACATGAAATGGCTCCAACACACTGGCCCCTAATTGTTCTTTGGCAGAGCACATAACAATTTCACATTTCACAAAAATAACAGAGCCATTACTTCAATAATTACAAAGGCAACAAATACTTAACGAAGAAAGAACGAAACCTTTTGCAAATTAACCATCGTAATTTGTATTGACTTCAAAAAGGTGGCGAATTTTGGTCAAGAGCCTTTCAACGATCCTTGTCTTAGTTTTTTAGACCCCCAGATCAAACGAGTCCTCCTTTGTCAGGATACACCTCAAGCACTTTTCAAAGAAATGTGGGAACAACGTGGTGCTTTGGGATGAACTACGCAACATCGTCTCCAGATGAAAGGCTTTTTCTTTCTTTGTTCCATTCTTGCCTTTCTCGCAACAATGGCAAATATTCTCAAGTCCATCTTTTCCAGAAGAAATGGACCAATTATTGAATTTGTTTCCATCTTCTTAGATATTGCTCAATCCTTTTGAAAACTCCTGGTGGGAGAACTGGTTTTCCTTTCAGTAAAAGAATGATTTGGCGTAAGTGGGATAATTGTTGCGATCATCAATTAATGTAATGGGACGGTCATTCAAAATGTTTTCGCGCAATATAGTGCGTAGCCCTTTGTCGTCGTTGCATTGTCTCACTCACAGCATGACTATTTTCTTCAACCCATTTAATTAGAGCAGATAGGCATCCATGTCAGTCAAGTCGAGCAGCCACCTCTACTTTTTCTGGTATACCGAAAAAGTAAATTGGGTGGTTGTTACATTAAAAAAGTCTAACTTGTAATTTGAACACAATAATTTCATGTTTCTATGAACGTAATTAAATCATGAAGGATCTGTACGAAATTCAACAACTTAATTTGTTCTTGTTGAGATGACATGATACAATCTAGTAAGAGTGGTTAGTTGCTGAACTCATGAAATTCACAAGATCGCACAAGATTTCAAACTGCAGGAAAATCACTGGAGTTATAAGAGGCAGACAACTACACACACACCACGTGCATGCTATTGCTATTTATTGTGGATTAACCTGTCAAGGACAAAAACAAAAAAATTCTGCATCAAATACAGGAAATCATACTTTCCTGTGTTTCCTAGATTGTTGGCATGGTGGTTAGTGCTGTTGCTTCACAGTAAGAAGGTCCTGGGTTCAAATCCACATTCTGGCTAGTTTGCAGGTTTCTCTCTGGGTATTCTGGTTTCCTCCCACAGTTAAAAGTCATGCAGTTATTAGGGTTAACTGGTGATTCTAAATTACCTGTGAATGTAAGTGTAAATGGTTGTTTGTTTCTATGTGATAGACTGGTCAGCTGTCCAGGGTGTACCCTGCCTTGTAACCTATCACTTCAGGGTTATTTCCCAGCCCTCCTGCAACCAGGATAAAGATAGGAGGATGGTAGTTGTTGAAGACCCATTCAATTTTTATGGTAACCAGGATCTAGACTTTGTTGAACATTATGTAATATGAAGACAACATGTAGTATTTAAGTGACCAAGTAGTATTGGGGTAAAAGTTATTGAATAGTGTTGAAATAAAATGACAAAATTGTGAAGGATTAAAATATTCCAAGAGCTCAACTTACTTCATCTGAACATGTTTCAATCGCGTTTTATGAACACAAAATGCACAGGTTTATTGAATATGAAAAAGTTGTGTTGATTTAACTCAGTTGTTTAAGTTTCTGCCAAAGCAAAACATTTGTGTGCAACCAATGTCCACTATTGAATCAAGGCAATCCAACATGGCCTGTGAGCTTCATGAACTACCTGTCCATTTAAGTCTCTCTGAAATGGAGAGTGCTGTGATCTTATGTGTGTGTATTTAAAACCTCAACTCTGCTGATACAAAAGAGACCCAAACCAGTGCAAAAGAGATTCAAAACCAGTGTTTTAATGAGTAGAATAAGCCATTTAAAGTTTCCATTTATTGAATAAACCTCAAATTTAAGTGCTTATCATGTAAAATATTGCAAAATATAGCAAATTTCCAAAAATGTACAAGTGAAGATATTGTTTTATTCAGAACACTCAGTCATGTAGGAAAACCAAAACTCTCACAAAGTTGTGACTGAAGTCCATCTTTAGTGTAAGTGTTTGGCATTTTTTCATGTGCTCAAAAAAACCACTATCAACATTTTCACAGATATCACCCTAAACACAATTAATAGTAGTTAATTTACCCACTTTCTCTTACTCTGAAGAGATAAATCAACATGATTTAACATTTGCTACTCATTCAAGTCATTTCAACGTCAAGCCTAAATGTATCATCACAGATTAAATGTTCTATGATGTTTATATGTGATGTTATTCTGTCTGTGCAGATAGCAAGAGATATTTGATTTTCATTAATTTCTCAGAGTTTGTTGCTGTATTAAAAGATGTATAACTGTCAACTTGACTCACTTGTTTTCAGACTGATATCAGATGAGCAACATTTATGGCAGGTTGGTTGGTGTACTTTACAATCTCTTTTTGCAGCAATGAATAAATAAATAACTATAAGTTTTGTCTACTTATAGAGACACTTCAGGAAAAGTCATGTGATCGTGGCATGCAAACACTAAATGTACATTAACAGAATACTGTGCTGCCTTTTCACATTTCAGTCTTATTACAGTGTCCGCGCTTTAAAAATGGACATTATGACAGTGTTCTGTTTTTAACAGTCGTACCCTAATGTAGTTTTTTGTGCGGTCCATCTGTCAGAAAGTCTTTGTCATTCTTGTTGTAACTGTTGTCCAGGTGCTGTGTTTTATCAGGTGACCAGCTGAGCTGTTCTTGTGGTACCAGCAGATCTACGTAGAGATTCTTCTGCTCTATTTCACTGTTTACCATCGTGTACCCGAGATAAGACATGGCCTCTTCACACACTTCCTGTACTCGTTTGACCGTGTTGTGTGGCAGCATGGTGCGCCAAGCCTGAGAGATGTCAGTGGCGCTTCGCGATGTGATGTCAAAAGCCTCTTTAATGGAGCCTTTGCCTTTTCCGTGGGTCACCTGGTAGATCCATGTGGCCAGCTGTGTGGTCATCTCCAGACCTACAAACTGATACAAGGATTTGATCTCCTTGACTGGGTTGCGCGTCACATCCTCGTAGCGAACCAGTTTGTAGCGGCCTTTTAGAAACGGAGGAGGCTTCAGGACCGCCCTCTTATTGATACGCAAGTGGCTTCGACAGATCTCCTGCATGACCTGATACTGTACCTTTGCTTCATTGATGGGTTTCTGCTCCAAGACGATCGCGTTATCACTCGCTAAGTATTCAGCTACCTTTTCCTTAGACCGCACCACTCCCCGTGGGTCTCGGACCAGGTGGATGATGCGGAGATTTAAGTTTGGGTCCAGCAATAGTGGGTAAAGGGATTCTAGCTCAAAGATGCGCACTTCCTTGTACACCACATGAGAGTAAAAGCCACACACCTGCTCTACAATCTTCAGGTCCCGAGGTTTACAATTCTGTTGGCAGTGTGTCTTGTTGCTGAGCTGATTACGTGGCATGAGAGGACAGGCTGGGGGTGAGCACAGAGCTCGACTGTGACTCCACATAAACAACTCTTTCTGGTTCTCTGGAAGGTAGGACTCCATCACTGAGAAGTCACACTGGAACAGGCTCCGTAAGAGATCCCTCACTGCCATTCGAAGTGCCCGTGCACCATTTTGCCTCAGCTGGGTCCACACATGCCAGCCAGGCTCCATAAGATAGAAGACAGACGGGTGCTGACTGAATACCTGGCCCAGGAAGGATGAGCCTGATCTCCATGATGACAATAATAGAACGTGGACTTTGTCGTTGGAGGGTTGCGGGTCATAGAGGCTGAGCTGCATGTACCAGCCGCTGACCAGCAACAATGCTGCCCCAAATAGGATCACTTGGAACTTCATGGTGTTGCGGTTCACTCTGTAGTGCAACATTATGGCTGTGAGCTGCTGTCAAGTCAGTGGTGCTTTGTGCGAATTCTTCTCTCTTCAATCTTGTCTTAAGCTGTGTCTCTTTTGCTGCACGAGATGTTGCTCTGAAAACATGAATGTGTGAAGCCATTCGTCACAGGTTCCCAAAGACGAGCAAAAGTTTCAATGATAAAACATTTGGATTTGGTAGACAGACCGCCGCTCTACTTTTAAGATTAGGCTTAAAACTTCTCTTTTATTAAAGCTTAGAGTTAAGGCTGGATCAGGTGGCCCTCAATCCTTCCTTGGCATCATGGGCTGTCCTGTCCCCTCCCTGATGGACAGTTGTTAATCCTGCTGCCTCAGCAGAGCAACAAACACTATCGAGGACAGCTCCCACCCTGGTGTTGACCTGTTCAACCTGCTTCACCCAATCCAAGGACCTCCCTCTATACACACACTAAACTACCATAACTACTGTGCAATACTTAATTAATGGTAAATATATAACACTCTTTTCCCGATGTTTGAATATTTGTTATTTTTGAATACTGTTCATCTGTATATAGTGCTGCATAACTATGGACTTCACTCTTCTTTCTTTCTAACATGTCTGCGGTACGGGTATACCATGTTTACAGGTACGGGTATACCATGTTTACAGGTACGGGTATACTGTTTGATAGTGACAATAAAAAGCATTCTATTCTATTCTATTTACTCTGCAATAGGTCAAGGCTGCTGGGGGATTTCCATGACGCATTGTTTCTTCACTCGCTGCGTGTTTTTAGGCCTCTCTTTACGCATTTAATCATTGGTTATTCACCTCTGCCTCTCTTTCACCGTGTCTTTGTCCTGTTTTCATCCACTCAGCCCCAACGGCAGTAAGTGGCATTTTTGCTGGTCTAGTTCATAACATCTGATGCAGACCTCGGAGAAAATAATAATCATCGCTTATAAGAACTCACAAATGTCACCGAGTTCCTTAAGGGAAATTGCCAGAATTCTCGGAATGGACGTGAAAGTATATGGGGGGGGAAGGAAAATATAAATATATATATATAAATATATATATATATATATAGTCTTCAACGAACAGGATTCACAATGTGGTTATATATAAAATAAAGACATTGCCTGTTCTTTATCTTTATGACTTGTAGGCTATCTTTATGATATTGTACCTACAATTTAATCAATCCAGCCCTTTAGGCCAGTTAAAATATCTGTTTAACTCTTGAGCATATATAAAAGTTGCTGTGTTAAAAACTGATGCGGCTTCTACCTTGTGACAGCCAGAATGTTGTTTGTAGCTCAAGATGAATTGATACCATTCGTGAGTGAGGCATTAGACACTTTTCATATATTATAATTCAACAAATAAGTGTTTTACAGGTACGGGCAATCGCTTTTTGGGAACATCCGAAATTACTTTTTGGCAGATGATCATATTTTGGCACACCAGAAGATATAAAACACAGACAGAACCACAAGATAATTAACACATACAGAGCAAATGTCTTAAACGATGTCGGCAGTTGGGTAAATGTAAATTACGGCTTTTTAACAGTTCTGTTCCAGCTTTCGAACATCCCCCAGCTGACCTGTTATGCCGGAAGGTGACGATAGCATCGGCTGTGCCAGTCCCCTGCCACACCGTCAACTCTGTGCATGCAAGACTCCGCCCAAAATCTCCGCTTTTTACACGCCCGGGGACTAAAGAAAATAATTATCCGAGCAGCAGCATTTGACAGAGGAAGCGGAGAAGGCGAGGAGAGCTCCCCTGGGATACTCAAAGGACTGTGGACACGCTCTGTTCTGCGATGCTACGGTAGATTCTACAGCCCAGAATACTGGATAACCTTTAATTTAATAATAACAAACAAGGGAAACAGAAGGAGTATGCAAGATTTTTTAAGCTAAAATTCTGTGCTGATGAAATGACCCTTACAAAAAGTATCACTGGTTAATGTTTGCCGTTTCGGTTTAGTTTCTCCACCATATACAAAATTGTATCATGTGATTTAAAACGTTTAAGAAGGTGGTTCACAACCAGTGTTTGCCGAGATGGAACAC